CCCAGCTACTCGGGAGGCTGAGGCAGGAGAATGGTGTGAACCTGGGAGGCAGAGCTTGCAGTGAGCCGAGATCGCACCACTGCACTCCAGCCTGAGCAACAGAGCAAGACTCCATCTCAAAAAAAAAAAAGAAAGAAAAGGAAGGTCCTGTCTTATTCTGAACATTCATCTATTTACAAATTCTGAGGCAACCCTCAATGAGAACCAGAGCAGGCACTTCAGTGGGACAAACTGGCTATCCCCTGTGTGCAGTGGTAAGAAAGTTCCGCTCCTGTGGAACCAAGGGTAATTACGGAGGAGATTCCCAGGGGAGGCAGCCTGTCAGACACAGCCTGTCCGAAAGGGCCGGCTGAAGCAAGTCATTCATGCTACAAACAAAATATTAAATAAAATAAGGAAATTTCCTTATTATGTGTGGATATACCCAGAATGTATCCAAAACAAAACACCAAACAGGTATCTTAGCCCCACTTACCACCCTCAATTATAAACTGTAAGCCATTCAGACAGCAGGCTACTATTTGTGTAATGAATAATCGCGTTATGGAACTGCTACTTGAGCACGGCTTGAAGCGACCACTTCCAGGCAGGCGCTTACCACAGCACTGTCGGTCCCTGTAAGAACTGGACACCACCCTGTGCCTAGCAGTGCGGCTGAGTCCACACCAGGACTTCCAGACTCCGGAACCAAAACAGTTATGAGGCCGGGCGCAGTGGCTCATGGTGTCTCATGCATGTAATCCCAGCACTTTTGGAGGCCGAGGCTAGCGGATCACCTGAGGTCAGGAGTTCAAGACCAGCCTGGCCAACACGGCGAAACCCATCTCTACTAAAAATACAAAAATTAGCCAGGCATGCTGGCACACGCCTATAATCCCAGTTACTTGGTAGGCTGAGGCAGAATAATTGCTTGAACCCAGGAGGCAAAGGATACAGTGAGCCGAGATTGCGCCACTGCACTCCAGTCTGGGAGACAGAGTGAGAGTGAGATTCCATCTCCAAAAAAAGAAACAGTTATGAAAAGATGCTTTCTCACCGGGTGCAGGGCTGCACACCTGTAATCCCAGCACTTTGGCAGGCTGAGGCGGGCGGATCACCTGAGGTCGGGAATTCGAGACCAGCCTGACCAACATGGAGAAACCCCGTCTCTACTAAAAACACAAAATTAGCCGGGCGTGGTGGTGCACGCCTGTAATCCCAGCTACTTGGGAGGCTGAGGCAGTATAATCACTTGAACCCGGGAGGTGGAAGTTACAGTGAACTGAGATTGCACCATTGCACTCCAGCCTGGGTGACAGAGCGCTGCCAATCAGTGCCCCGTATTCAACACTGGAGCGGGGTCAGACAGGCTGGGTGCTCGTATTCACACTTTCGGGACCC